ACCACACTGGTCTACTGGTGAGTGGAAGAAGGGGAAAGGCAGCAATGAAAAAATGAGCTGAGTTCAACCACAGTCCATTGACTCCCATTGATCTGGAGATGAGAGAGAGAAGAGGAAGGGCTGGTTTATCCAAAGTGTGGTGAGACCTGGGGACACCTTAGTCCATGGACAAGGGCATAGCCACAGAGGGCTAGAGCTTAGAGTGAAGCATCCAGCTGATATGAAGTAAAGGGAGATGCACAAGAATGCCCAAACTTGCAGACAGTACCCACTTGACCTAGCCTCAATGTCTTGATAATCAGAACTTGACTAGAGGAAGATTAAAAAAAAAAAAAATTTTTTTTTGATAAAGGAAGCAAGGGTAGATTGCTACAATTTGATGAACCTGACCTATTCTCATGGAGGTAGTAATTCTAAATACCAACAGAGAGGGAAGGAGTCTTCACATCAAGTATCAATGCTATCCACTCTGTACACAGGGTAGACAGGGATGGGCAACATAGACATTGGCTATTTAAAATGAGGGGGTAATAAAGGTACGAAGTGACTGGCTTACAAAGTTTCATGATGGAGTTTACAGTGTGGGGGAAGACAGAGTTCCCACTGAATAGTTTTTATCTTGTCTAGATGGGTCTTGTGAAAAAAGATGGGGATAAGGTTTGTACAATTCAATAGTGAGTAACTGTTATCATGACTAATTGCGACTGCCACAATTGTAAAGGTAGAAGTTTTGTAACAAATACCTTTAAGTGGTTACTCTTACAGAGGCCCCTAGGACCATCAAGGGAAAAGAACACAAGCAGAATGCACGACCTTATCCAGAGAAGCAGCGACGCCAGAGACGGAGGCAGAGATGGGGACATGGAGAGGAGGAGTGGCTAAAGACTCTATTAGTGGGAAGAGAGGGACTAAGAGCTGGTGGCCAGGAGGCAGACTTGCAGAATGAGCCCTTTGGAGGTGTAAATTATCATACATGCCTGAGGTTTTTTTTTAAAGAGCTAAAGTGATTAGTGAGAAATACTGTTAACTGATGGTACATGGAGGGGATTATGATCATTGTAATGAAACAAGATGTATGATTTGTTGAATGTAAAACTCATGATCTACCCTGTAAACTTTTACTCAAGTCACTATAAAAAACCTTAAAAAGGGGGGGAGGAGGGGATAGAGGTAAATACTGTGGACTGATGGTACATGGAGGGGATTGTAATCATTGCAATGAAGGAAAATATGGTTTACGGAATGTAAAACTGATTACCTGCCCTGTAAACTTTAAGTCAATTCACAATAAAAACTGCTTTAAAAAATAAAAAAAAGTAAACAAGCCTGGCACATACCTTTCCTAGTTTTAAACCATTCAGTCAGTGTTCCTTTGTTCTGTTTAAACAACTGCCTCTTGGTCTATGTACTAGTTCCTCAAGGGCATAATTAAGTGTTCAAGAATACTCATTCTCTGCAATGTTGTCCATAGCTTGTCATAATCCACACAATAAAGCCTTTGCGTAGTCAATAAAGCATAAATAAACATCATTCTGGTATTCTCTGCTTTCAGTCAAGATCCATCTAACATCAGCAGTGATGTCCCTCATTCCATGTCCTCTTCTGAATCAGGCTTGAAACTCTGGAAGTTCTCTGTCAATGTACTATTGCAGCTGTTTCTTAATTGTCTTTAGCAAAATTGTACTTGCATGCGACCATAATGATACTGTCCAATGATTTCCACATTTTGTTGACACACTTCACTTTAGAATGGACACAAATATGGATATCTTACAGTTGGCCAGGTAGGTGTCTTCCAAATTTCTTGGCATAGATAAGTGAGTGCCTCCAGTGCCAAATCAGTTTGCTGAAAGATTTCAATTCGTATTCCATCAATTCCTGGAGCCTTGTTTTTTGCCAATGCGTTCGAAGCACCTTGGACTTCGTCCTTCAGTATCATTGGCTCTTGCTCATGTGTTACCTTTTAAAATGGTTGAACATCGACCATTTCTTAAAGTGACTCTGTGTATTCCTTCCACCTTCTTTTGATGTTTTCTGCATCCTTCAATATTTTGCCCATAGAATCCTTCTATACCAGAAGTCAAGGCTTGAATATTTCTTCAGTTCCCTGAGCTTGAGAAATGCTGAGCATGTTCTTCACTTTTGGTCTTCTAACTCAAGATCTTTATATATTTCATTATAATATTTGACTCTGTCTTCTGGAGCTGCCCTTTGAAATTTCTGTTCAGTTCTTTTACCTCCTTTTTCCCATTTGCTTTACCATCTCAACACTGGAGAGCAAGTTTCAGAGTCTCTTCTGACATTCATTTAGGTCTTTTCCTTCTTTCTTGTTTTCTTAATGATGTTTTGCTTTCTTCCTGTATGATGTTCTTGGTGTCATCCCACAATTCTTCTAGTCTTCAGTCATTGGTGTCTAATACATCAAATCTGTTCTACACATGATCTCTAAATTCAGGTTTTAAAAGTCATATTTTGGCTCTCATGGGCTTGTTTTAATTTTCCTCAGCTTCAGCCTCAACTTTTATATGAGTAATTTACGGTTTGCACTACAGTCTGCTCCTGGCCTTGTTTTGGCTAATGATATGGAGCTTTTACACTGTCTTTTTCCATAGATGTAGTCAATTTGATTTCTGTGCATTCCATCTGGTGAGGTCCATGAGTATAGTCATCTTTTATGGTGTTTAAAAAGGTATTTTCCATGAAGAAGTCATTGGTCTTGCAAAATTCTATCTTGTGATCTCCAGCACTGTTTCTAAGACCAAGGCCATCTTTTCCAGCTAGCGATCTTTGTTTCTAACCTTTGCATTCTAATTGGTCATTATCAATACATTTTGATTGCATGTTTGATCAATTTTAGACTGAAGAAGTTGTTGTTGTTAAGTGTAGTCGAGTCAGTTCCGACCCTTAGCAACCCTGAACAGGGTTTCCGAGGCTGTAAATCTTTACAGGAGCAGAAAGCCTCATCTTTCTCACGTGGAGCAGCTTGTAGTTTCGAACTGCTGACCTTGTGGTTCACAGCCCGATTCATAACCACTACACTACCAGAGCTCCAAAGCACTATGCAACCAGAAGTTATAGAATTCTTCAATTTCATAATCACTGGCTTCAGTGGCTGGTGTACAGTTAGTAAAAGTTTTATTAACTGGTCTTCCTTGTAGACTTATGGATATTATCCTATCACAGACAGCATTGTACTTCATGACAAATCTTGAAATGTTCTTTCTGATGATTAATGCAACACCATTCCTCTTCAATATGTCATTCCCATCAGAGTAAACCAGGTGATTTTCAGATTTAATACAACCAATACCAGTCCTTTTCAGCTCACAAATGCCAAAGCTATTGATGCTAATGAGCCCCATTTAATTTTTGACAATTTCCAATTTTCCTAGATTAATTCTTTGTACATTCCATGTTCTGATTTTTAATGGTGTTTATAGCTATTTCTCCTCATTTTAGGTTAATTAGTGATCATCCTTACTCACAGCTGGTTCAGTTTATGAGCTTTAATTATACCTTCCAGTAACCTATACAAAAGCCTTATGCTTTATGGAAAATGATTCAAGCTAACACGGTGATAGAAATCTTCACTAACAAAAACACACTTAAATGTATGGCCTAATAGGAACAGGCAATGGCTTATGCTTTCCTCTAAGACACATCAAAGAACAAACGAAAGCAGTGGAAGCAGGTTATTCCTCAGGGCTGGCAGCATGTCCTCTTCATGACTGGTAATGCCTGGTTCACACAGGGTTCTGTGCATAGTAGGAAGAAGTGCTGAATAGTTACTGAAGCCAAGAAAGAACAGTCAGAGAGGAGGAATAGTTCATCTTACAGTCCAGGAATAGAGGACCCTAGGACCATCAAGGGAGAAGAGCATGAGCAGAATATGGGCCCCTATCCAGAGAAGCAGTGACACCCAGAGATGGAGGCAGACATATGACATAGAGAGATAGAGCAGTTGAAGACTCTAGACTCATGGAAAGAGAAAGGCTGTGTGCTGGCAGCCAGGAGGCAGGTTTTCAGAATGTGCCCTTTGTTGTTTAAATGATTATATATTTCTGAGTGTTTTTGTGTACATCCCCAAAAAAACAAAGAAAGGGAATGGAAGCAAATACTGTTCAATGATGATGCACGAAGGGGATTGTAATCATTGCAATGAAATGAAATACAATAGGATAAGTGTAATAAAACTGATGTTCTGCTATGTAAACGATCACTCAATTCAGAATAAAAACTTTGAGAAATAATAACAAACCATTCAGAGAGGAGGAAATGATCTGCTGAACTTCAATCAATGCATGTACCTTCCGACCAACTTGATATACTGACTTGTACTTTTTAAGTGTGTCTATAAAAATTGTTTTATGTGACTCATGCACTAAATCAAAGACAACATACAATGAATAAAACCAACCTAAATGGAACCAAAAAAGAGGAGAACCCACCATTAACCACTCAGACTTCAAATGTAAAGGCATCAGGAAAATATCTGTTGATGCACTCTAATTAGATAATATATTAGTATCTTGAGTCTTTTTATTGCACCCCTGTGTTGTTAAGTGCAGCCAAGTCAGTTTTGACTCATTGTGACCCTGCATAGTGTTTCCAAGGAATGGCTGGTAGATTTGAACCATCAACCCTGCAGTTCAAACCAACCTTGCAGTCTAGTGCATTCTCCTACCATACAGGACTCCTGTTTCCAACCCATTTTTAACCATACCTTAAAAAATGATAAATAAGCCCTGGTGACACTATGGGCTAAGCATTGGGCTGCTAACCTCAAGGTGGTTCAAGTGCACCCACTAGACGCTCCGCAGAAGAAAGATAAGGCTGTCTGCTCCTGTAAGGCTCTAGTGTCTCGGAAACCCAAGGCAGCAGTTTTACCCTTTCTACATAGGGTCACTATGAGTCGGGCTTGACTTGAAGGCAGTCAGGCTGTTGGGGTATGTTGATAAGCTGTACAACAGCGTGTGCTTTTGGAAACAACACTTGGTTACCTGGATGAGGGCTGGAGGTGATGAGGCTCCACTCATTGATATCTGAATTGTAGATCTGAACCTTGTCATACGTGCAGCTTCCTCTGTATCCGCAGTGGCCACCAATGACATAGATAACTTCATGTAAGACACAGGCAGTCGCATTTCCCACACCTGTGTGTTCAAGAAAAATCACATCTTTAGATTGACCTTTCACTATTTCCTTTCTTTTAAAAAAATATACGTTATTGGGATCATTCACTATTTCCTGAGCAAAGTTTATTCTCTCTTTTTTGTTGCTGTTATTACTGGTAGTAGATGCAAGACACTGGGCTCAGTGCTATGTGGGATACAAGGAAGAAACACTCAAGAGTTCATGCTCTTTGAAGAGAGCGTGAAACAGCTCTTGAACACAAAGTACAGATGGTAGAAGGACCGTGAATGAGGGACAAAGACAATGATGGCAGGCTCAATTTAATGGGGTGCAGGATTTGACCTGGGTCTTGGTATATAGGACTTTGAAGCTCTTCTAAGCTGAGGAAAAGGCAAGCACAAAGGTTTACCAGGCAACGTCAAGTAGTACAGTCTGACCCAAGCAGGTAGCACAAAGAGTTGTATAGGAATTAAAGCTGGAATAACAAGCTAAAGTCATGTAGTAAAGGATCCTAATGTCCATCTAAATCATCTGGATTTAAACTCAGCAGGGTTAAGGTTTTAAAAGAGAAGATGGGAGAAAATGAATAGGACACAAGACAGAAGAGAGCTAGGTACTAGCCTTGGTGGACCAAGGCTGAAGTCCAAACTTGTCTGTCACTTTTTCCTATTGTGGTGGTTTGCATGCTGCTATGATGCTACGATGAGGTGTTCTGCTCCCGTAAAGATTTACAGCCTCGGAAACCCTGGACAGGGTCGCTGTGGGTTGGAACCAACTTGACGGCACTTAACAACAACAACAACATGGTGCTAAAAGCTATGTCATCAGTATCTCAAATGCCAGCAGGGTCACCCATGCCAGTTAGGTTTTAGCAGAGTTTCCAGACTAGGACACTAGGAAGAAAGGCCTGGTAATCTACTACTAAAATTCAGCCAATGAAAAAAGCTTGTCAGCAGTCATCTGAAGTACAAAGAAGAGTATAGAAAACCAAAGACAGCTTTCCCCTGGCCGGCAGTGTGGAGGCCGCACGATGCCTGGAGTTACTGTAAAAGATGTGAACCAGCAGGAGTTCATCAGAACTCTGGCAGCCTTCCTCAAGAAGTCTGGGAAGCTAAAAGTCCCTGAATGGGTAGACACTGTCAAGCTGGCCAAGCATAAAGAACTTGCTCCCTATGATGAGAACTGGTTCTACACACGAGCTGCTTCCACAGCACGGCACCTGTACCTTCAGGGTGGAGCTGGGGTTGGCTCCATGATCAAGATCTACGGAGGGCGGTAGAGAAACGGCGTCATGCCCAGCCACTTCAGCAGAGGTTCCAAGAGTTTGGCCTGCCGGGTCCTCCAAGCCCTAGAGGGGCTCAAAATGGTGGAGAAGGGCCAAGATGGTGGCCGCAAACTGACACCTCAGGGACAGAGAGATCTGGACAGAATCGCCGGACAGGTGGCAGCTGCCAACAAGAAACATTAGAACAAATGATGCTGGGCTAATAAATTGCCTCGTTCGTGAAAAAAAGAAAAAGAAAACCAAAGACACAAGGAAACAATCCAAAGGACTAATGGACCATGTGAACGGAGCCTCCCAGACTCTGAGACCTGAAGTAGGTGGTGCCCAGCTGACCAATCCGAAAGGGATCATAATAGGAGGTCCCAGACAGTGGGAGAAATTGACAAAACTCAAAGTTATATTAAAAAAACAACAACCCTCAAAGTCATAAAAAAAAGACCAAACTTAGTCTGAAAGAGACTGGTGATACCCCTGAGACCATGGCCCTTGGACACCATTCACACCTGGAACTGAACTCACTCCCGTGCCTCAACTTTCAGCCAACAGAAGGTGAACACAACAATATCACCAAGGTACACATTCCTTAGAAGAATCATAGGAATTATGTATAGGAATAATCTCTTATATGCATAAGAGATCAAAAGGGCAGCATTTATTCAGGAATAAAGCTCAAAAGCCAGGAAGGAATAGGAATGGGAAACAAGGAGCAATGGAAACAGGAAATACAGAGAGGAAGTGGGAAGAGTGCCATTATATTGTGGAGATAGCAACCAATGTAACAAAACAAAAAAATGTATGAATTGTTGAATGGAAAACCAATGCGTTCACAATAAAACATTTTAAACACTTTTAAAAAATAAAGCAATAAAATCCTTATGGGTCACAACAGAACACAGTTTGACTGGCTTGCTTTGGACACATCATCCAGCGAGATTCTTCTCTGGAAGAGGACATCATGTTTACAGAGATAGATAGTCAGCCAGGGGATGGGGGAGATGGATTGGCACAACAGACACAATGGAAGAATCTAACATGCCCATGAACTTGAGGATGATGTAGGATAGGGCAATGTTTCATTCTGTTGTATATAAAGTCGACATGAGACAGAAATCAACTCAGAGGCAATTTATCTGTCTGTCTATCTATAGCCTTGGAGATGGAAGAAAGGGCACAGAGACAAGAGTCCCCAGTAAAGCAGTCAGGCCTTAACGATTAATTATTATCAGAGACAACTTTAAGACTGATTCTAACATCTTCAGCTGGGAAATACTGGGCACAGAAAAGTAAGGAGTGAACTCAGCAGGCAAAGAAAAAAGAGCAAGGAAGATGATGAGGCACATTTAGGTGAAAGTGTTAGTTTACTCTTTCAACCAGCTGTTACTTCATTAGCATTGCTATGTGCTTGGTATAGTTCACTCTCCTTGTACATTTCTACTCCAGATAGAAGTGGGTTTACAAGCAGGGAAGCTATGTTGGGGGTGGGGTACAGGAGATTTAGAAGTACCTAGAGAGCCAAATATTTATTTCTTCTCTGTACATTCTTAAACCAAAAAAGGAAATTAATTTGGAATTTGATTCTACCCAACTTAAACTCACATTACCATAGAGGACTGCTGACTTGTCACCATGACTACAAGATAAATTAAGTTGGGGGAAAATAATGGTATCCAGTCTACAGGAAACTGAAAAACAAACAAATTTAGCATATAAGTCCATCCATCAGAACTAGTACCAGTCAAAAGTGCACAGGACTGGCAACAAATAAAACTACTCTTTCCTGGAGGGGATTAAATATAAACAAGAATGAAAATTGCAAATTAAAAAGTAAAAAAAATGGAATTTCAGATGCAGCTGGTAGGTAGGGAAGGCTTTGGGGCCTATGATACTCCTATTCAACTCAAGGTTCAGACAAGAACACATGTGGCTTTCTTTCAGCACCGATCTACAATTGCAACATTTTTTTCCCAGCAAGCACTGTTCCAAAATTATTATTTAATCAGAAAATTAGTAAGTTTTCCTCTAAAAGAAATACACTGAAAAGTACAAAACCACTGAAAGTGTTATCATTAGGAAACAGACGGAAAAATACACTTAGATTTACAAGAGTTATTAAAATATTTGAACTTTCCTTGTTTCTTTTATAGGAGAGAAGTCAGGCTGATCCATCCTGGGGAGGAGGCAGGGAATAGATAAGTGGGGTCAAGTTCAGGCAGAGCCAAGAACCAGAGCAGTAATGTTGTTGTTAAGTGCTGCCGAGTCAGTTCTGACTCATAGTGACCCTATATAGGGTTTCTGAGGAGCTGCTGTTGAGTTTGAGCCACTGACTCTGCGGTCCAGGGCATTACCCAGTAGTGCCACACCAGTAAACAACTTTAATTTACCTTCTCTCACTCTACCAACTATTGCTGAACCTATCAATGGACTATGCATATGAAAACATGACTAATATGGAGGATATTTCTGCCCTATAAAAACTGACATGTTCTTCTATAATGACATTCATGACACTAATGCCTAACATTTACTGTGCCACACACACTGTCTGCTACATTTCTCACGCATACATTCATTTAATCCTCTCTATAACCCTGAACCTGGATGACACAAATGGTTAGCACTGAACTAAGAACCTAAAGGTTGGCAATTTGAATCCACCCATCAGTGCCATGGAAAAACGGCCTGGAAACCTATTTCGGTAAATATTACTGTCAAGAAAACCCTAAGAATCAGTTCTACTTGGTCACACATGGTGTTTGAATCAACTGTTTCGCAACAGGTTTGGCTTCTTTTTAAAAGGTAATGTCAATTCCCCCGGTACAGATGGCAAAACTAAGGCACAGAGTGGTTAAGCAATTTGCCCAAGTTCACCAGCAAGTAAGTGGAAAGTCAGGATTTGGACCCAAGCAGCTTGGCTTCAGCCCCAGTGAGTCTGATCACCAGAACATGATGCCTCTCAGGCTTCCTGCTTGTCATCCAAAGATCACACCAGGCCAGACTTCCACACCAGGTCAAATTCCCATACCCCTGCTAGTATTAAAAAAGAAACAGAAAGGCCTGGGAAGAAATATTTGGGATAAAATGAAACAAATTCAGTAACAAACTTCCAGTTGTTTGTATAGCTCTGCAACACCAATGAATAAATGTAATTATAATTAAGTAATACTCCAGTTTAGCTTTTTTTTTTTTTTGCCAACAGACCAGAAGGAAAGCAAAACTAATACATTGCCAAATATAGAAGAAAATAAGGTTTATCAGATATTGACACCCAATAGCATGCTCTCTGGGCCACATGCTGAAAGACATGGGGTCTGCCTCTCTGCTTATCTTCTGAGACAAGAATGGAATCACAAAAAGCAGAGGAATCCCGATGTGGCGCTGCGGGCTAATGTGCTGGACTGCAAGGTTGGTTTGAACCCAAGGTCGGCAGTTCAAGCTCACCAGTTGCTCCTCAGAAACCCTATACAAAGTCACTATGAGCTGGAACTGAATCGATGGCACTTAACAACATTTGTCTCTAGCTCTTGACTTTACTATATCCTACAGAAGCCAAATCTTTCCATATTCTAATGAAGGACTTCTCAAATGACAGCATCTTATGAGGGGAAAAGGTTTAAAAGAAGTTGCTCTGGTACAGAATCTAGAAGAGTTCAATCTTAAGAGCAAGCAAAGAAAAAAAAAATCCAAATTGATAAATATGAGCTTATTAATAAATCATCCAATTTATGTTCGGCATTTAACCTTCACTTAAATATAAATTCTTAAGACCCAAAGCAAGCTCTAACTAATCTCAAACCTTAGGCCATAGAGTAAGCAGAATGAGTGTGGCACTGTGGGATAAAGCACTGGACCACAGGGTTGGTTTGAACCACAAGGTTGGAGGCTCAGACTCACCAGTGTACTCCTTAGAAACCCTATACAGGGATGCTAAGAGTCGGAACCTACTGTTAGCATTTAACAACAATGAATCACACTGCTTCTTCTGTTTTAATATACATGAGATTTCTTTTATAGCCTCCTGAGTATTGTATTCTAATCACATAACTCTCAGAAAAGCTGGGGACTCCGTTATGATGTTTTTACTTGGAACATTCTGTGCAACATTATTTGTGTTGTCCACATATATTCCAAAATGGAAAATGCTCTTTAAGGTTACTGTAAGAGAAGAAAGACCACTTGTCTAATCCCAAATATCTGAAAATACAGAATAAACATAACCTGCATTTACCTTTAATCATGTTTGCAATAGGAATCCATTTTTCTTTTAATGGGTCATAGAACTCGGCTTCTTCTGCTGGAGCCCCTTTCCTGTAACCGCCTAAGGCATAAACACAGCCACCCAAGGTGACTGCACAGTGGTAGTACCGGGCATTGAGCATTGGCAAACCTTCTGTCCACTCATCACTTTCACTGTTATAAATCCACACTGTGTCAAGAGCTTCTATGTTATCCGTCCTGTAACCTCCAGTTACATAAATGTTGGGTCCCAAACATGTAACACCATAGCTCTCCCTAGTATAGTCAGGTATTTCTGCTCCTTGAATCCAAACGTTTGTCAAAGGGTCCCATATGTGCACCTCTGACAGAGGATGCCAGTAATAGCCTCCAATGATATACATGGTGGCTGTGGACCTCTGGGAAATCTCTTTGTGCATAGGATTCAAAGCATTGTATATTAGAGATCGTATCTTATTTTCTGTTAGTAGGCAGCTTCTTTGAAGGCCTAAAGCTGTTTTTAAATACACTGGATCTATATCTATATTGATATAGCTGAGTAGATTATATAGGCATTCAATTCGATTTTCTACATCGTGAGCAGTCCATTTAATAACTGGTTCTATGATAGCTTCTTCTTTCCAGACACTGAGATTCTTTCTGGACAAGATAAAGAGAAACTTCTCAAGGTTGATTTCAAGAAATTCTTCTTGTTGCCATACTTCCTTAAACCTTGAACATAGAATTCTTCGTGATTCCTTCTCTAGTTCTGGACACACGTGGAATTCTGCAAAGGAGTGCATTCCAATACAATTATCAATATCTAAGTGCCTTACCAAAAACTGCTCACAAGCTTTCTTTACAGAAAGGAACTGTAACAGATCTGCTGCTTCTAGCAGACTCTGAACGTTTCTTTTGGTTATTTCAATTTGGGAAGTGTAAGCATAATTTACAAGGCCTTCCAGAATATCATGATGGATGCCAGAGAGTTTTATTTTATTTTTAAATTTTTCTTTCATGTCAGCTGTAAACATTGCCTTAAAATAATTGCTGCAAGCAGCTAAAACAGCTCGGTGACAATGGAAGATTATGCCCGAAGGACACTGTAGAGTAATATCAGTAAATAATCCATCCAAGTAAAACGTTCTGAAGGCATCCAGAAAATCCACTGGGTGCGATGAATCCTTGAAAAGATAAATATAATCTTCTTGTCCTTTTAGAGCCATGGCTGCAATAAATATGAAACAATAAACGTGTTTTCAATTTTGCATTATCTCAAATAATCAATGCTAATTATCCAATCATTATGATTGATTCTCATCAGATAAGACTCCAAAACTACACTAAATTCAACATTCAAAGTAACAAATGCAAAATGCAGATGCACTGCTCTGTAACTGATCCGATGATCAATTTAAATTCAGGGGAGTTTGGGGCCTGAAATTAGGCCCTTGGGGTATTCAGTTGTCTTTGGAGAAGAATCAATGATTTTCTACACCATTCACCCCAGTTCTGTAATATGCCCAGGAATGGCAGTCCAAGATAAGATTCCGCAATTGGCAAATCAAGTGCCCGTGGGGTTCCCTCCACACGAGGCCGAACCTTGAACAGTTCGATGCAACCCCAATTTAACCATTTTCTCTAGCTCCGTCTCCTTTTCTAATCACATACGGATGACAAGAAAGGGAAGAAGAAATCTTGGAAGAGAAGGGAAACCTTGAGCCTTTTTTCCCAAGAAAGGAGAGAAAAGAAAATGGCCTGGGCGCCGCCGCAGTCGCACCAGCCCCGCACCCCTCTCCCGCGGCGGGCAGCAGGGGTTTCCGCGCGCCCCGCGCCGGGCCCTCAGGCCCACGTTCCCGCCAGGAGTCCGCCCCGCCCCAAG